CCCCAAAACCCCAAAACCCCAAAACCCCAAAACCCCTTAAAAAGTCTTGAAAATTGAATTGTATATTATCAAAGTTTATTAAGACAAAGCAACATTAGCACTATGAATACAAATTGCCTTAAAAAGAACAAGCAGCCAAAGACTTCTTGGCCTCTCAAGAATCTTTTGTTTCATAATATCAAGCCAAAGCTTGCTATAAGGAAGAAGAATGAAGGGACTGAAGCACAGAAGATGCCTTCCCAGGTAAAGTTTTAGACACTACTTCTTGCAATAGGTGCTGAATAGTAGAAGATCAACTGATTTATGTGTCTTACACCTTCTGGAAAATTCTTTTACTTTTAAAGTATTCTCTTGTTAAGCTGCTGTTGTTTACCAACTAAGTTTTACAGCTATGTAAAAGAATCTTCTTTCTTACTGAAATCAAAAATGGTTGACTCTCAAGTAAACCATTTTAGGACTCTAAACTATAATTCGCTAGATTTTATTCATAATCTCACTAATTTTGGCTTATTTCAACATTTGGTGAGGAGTACCAAATCATTATAAAGCAGTGGCTTAATTCTTCTCAAAATTTTATTGCTGACCAAAACCATAGATTCTGGAATCAAAAATTGGCGAAACTATAAGAACAAAGATTAAGGAATCAAAGAAGCACAATATAAATATTCAACAAAGGGAAAAAGTCGAATTTGTAACACAATTTGATATAAAATTTAGAGAGCCAACCGCTCCAAAATGGAAAAAATTAATAGATTAATGCGAGCCAACTCCATTGAGAATGATCAGAATTCATATCTTTTTGAAGATTTAGAAGTTAAGAATCTGTTCTTAAGAGTTAAAGAGAAGCTAAAGTTTAGCAAATATAATAATGGACAATTTTTCTCTCCCCAGAAGTTATATGAAAAGTTATTAGAAATAAACTGAAGGTAAAAAATTACCTTGCTGTGATCATTATTTTATAGGGTCAGACAAAGGTCTAGGTGAAAAGCAATTCTTGATAGAGCAGAGACTCGCTTACCAATTATCTCAAAGAATCTTCTGCCAACTAATTGTAATTATTAAATAAACCTACTTCGAAATAACATGGTTCATCAGAATTTCATAGTGAATGGATAGTTAGCATCTTGTAAATGTTTTAAATTGAGCAAAAGCTACTCATATGCTGCTTAGCTTGTAGAATAACCCTTAATCTTTGAGTGTTCACTTACTCAGGCTTCATCCTTCTTCAATACTCATAAATCATAATTTCAATATCACCCAAGTATACTCTGGCTGTGGATTTTCAATATAGCTAGTAACTAATGGGGTTTTGGGGTTTTGGGGTTTTGGGG